ACGGCAGCGGGTCAAGGTGAGCCCGTTTAATTTATAATGGTTTTTAAACCGGGAAAGACACGACTATTAGTTTAGCCGCCGGTCAGTGATGGCAGCGCCCCATTTTTTGGGGCCGCCTGAAGTCACTTTTTTTTGCAGACGGCCCCAAAAGCGGGGCCGCCCAGATTCAGCTCTGGGTCAAAATTTAGTCTCAGAAGCGGGCCCAGATTTCCCATAGAGGCCAGATGACGGACGCTGAGTCCTCGTGTCGTTCCTACTTTCTCTCATTTACAATTGAGCGTCAGTCTGGCGTGACCGTCGGTTCACGTCTGGCACGGTGTCGGCTGACGAATTAACGGATCGACCGTGAACCTTGGGGGACTGCGCTGGACGTCTCAAAAAATGCGTCAGTTTGGGGGCGCATAAACTGGGCACGATGTCAGGTCGGATTTGTGAGATTTCTTCAGGTCACTTGCAGTGAACACGGAGAGCAACTTTTGCGCAGCTTTGCAGTTCTTAAACGTGAATCAGGATGCAAGATTACCCCCCACCCCATCGAATCTTAGCGTAGATGTTGCAGGATTGGTGCACGAGGGATGGTACACATGTCGCGGAGTCGTGTCTCCCGGTTTAAAAACCATTGTATATTTAAAACGGGCTCACCTCGACTCCGCTGCCGTTCTAAGGGGAATTCCACTTTGGAAGGACTCCGCCGACTCAGCTTACATGAACTCCACCGACTCCGCCCACACATGTAACTCGGATGCCTTTTTTCCAGTGCTTATTGCTTGAATTCAGCTGTTTCTATCTTGGCGCGCAGTGCGAAGATGGCAAAGAAGCTTCTGCGGCGCTGAGTTTGGCGTCGGAACTCATGTCAAGAATTGAGACGTCCGGCCCGGACCTCCCAGGTACAACGCAGCTGCGGAATGATAAGCCTGACTTTGCTGCCTTAGCATCTTCATGAAAATGGCTTGGAAGTTGCCTTCACCAAGGCCATTTCCAGCTTGTACTCCACCAAGGCCCGACGCTGTGTTAACAATGGCTTCCAGAAACCTAAGAAAACTATTTGACAACAAGAAAGAAGTCTGACCTTCTACTATGGCAATTCGCTCTGTGCAAACGGCACTGTTAGCGGCTTTTAATGTGAAAAATTGACTTGTAGTAATTGCTCAGTTGGTGCCATGTGGTTTTGATCATACAGACAGAAGCATTTTCTCTCTTGCACTTCAGGTTCCGTAGCTGACAACAAGCTGCCTGGACCAATTGTTTATGGTGCGCCGCGCGTCAGAAGTTTGAAGACCTTTTGGCGGCTCATCAGCCTTATAGCTGTCTGAAATTCTCTCTTGGCATTCTTTTCCAATTTGATTGCCGCACCCAATTGGCCGTAGAGGCAAAATTGCTTCCAGGACAGGCGTGGGGAAGTTTTGATCAATCTCTAGCGCCAACGTTCTTTGTTTTTTGTCGGAATGATCTCTCGGTTAAGTTGCAAGCTTCAGAAAGAGAGAGTTTCGAGAAACAAAGCAAACACAGCACCAAGCTCACCTACGCCTCCAGGCTATCCCAGAGGGGCAACTGCCTACGAGTAGGGTTCCAAGCAAAGCAGGACCTTTAGCAACGGACTCCCACCCTTCTGCGGCTTCCCTGGTGGCTTAACCACTCGAGCAGACGCGGCCTTGAGCCAAGGGGCTTAAGCCATAACACAGAGTAAATTAATAAATTCAACTTATAATTTAACTTATCAAGTTGATTTTGAGTTTTTTTTTGCAACATTTCCGGGCGCTGCCTTTATTTTGGTCGCTGTGTTGGTTCTTTTTTTTGGTTTCAAGTTTTAGTCGCTTGTGTTTTGCATTTTCTGTGTCTTCATTTTGGTCGTTGCATTGGTGTCTTGTGTTTTTTTTGAATCGACGCCTTCTTGGGGTCTTAACACAGAGGTAAAACACTAGCAGGCGCCAAAGCAGACACACACCAAACCACCACAAAACACAACAAAAACCGCAGCAACCCGTGTGTGGTACCTTTCTGCTTTGTTTTTTTGGTCGATGTGTGGTGTCAGTGCAAGGAAAGTGTCAGTGTGTTGGTAAGAGCACCTTTCCAAGCACTCTGCGGAATCTGCTGTAGGCTTCCGACGTTAGAGCCGGTGCACCTGTTTTCTCCAGAAGACCTGCTAGGTCTGGGACGGAGGTTGTGCCCTTTTGGATGCCAAACGCATCGAAGCACGATTGCAAGTATCCAGACTTCACACCTTCCTCGCACTCTGCCCCGGCCACACCGACCAATGAACTTAACCATGCCGCCACCTTGACGCAATGTCGCAATGTCTTCACCCTACCTGTCACCAACGCGATTGGGATTTCATCACACAGGATGGACATGTGGAGTTGTTGTACATGTTGTCACAGCTGCAAGTTTCTCCAGAGAGCTTGAAAGAATCTGATGAAGTGGCAGTGCTGGAGGTGTTTTGCAGTGAGGGTTCTGCCCTGTGCCAGGTGTGTGGATCACTTGGGGTTCCGTATTGCGGGATCACAGCCAATGCCGAGACCTCGAGAGTGTTGACAGAAACCATCAAGGTCATCATTGCTTGGAAGAACAGGGGGCTTTGGATCCACGTTCACGTGTCTACGCCTTGCTCTTCAGGCTCGATGCTGAGGAACTTTGTGCAAAGGTGTACAGAATCCGACCTCGAATGGGAGGCACTGATGCGAGCTGCAGAGAAGTATCTGAAGCTTGGAGATGGACGTACTTAACTGCCAAAGCAAAACATGATTTGGAAGAGATGGGGAACGCAGCATGTCCTTCGAGCCTCAGGTCTTGTGTATCCCGTAGATGTATGGCTATGTGCCACCGGCGTGGTGAGTCGAAGCGGTCTTCCAGTGTCAAAACGTCTCAGGTTCATGTGTTCACATTCCGAGTGCGCCCAGAAGCTTTTCGACATGTTTGGAAGCTGCAGTTGCCAGACACATGCCTCGTTCCATGACACTGACTACACAGCAACAGGGAGGTATAGCAAGGTGCTGGCAGACGGGTTGCTCAAGGCCCTAAAAGCAACAAACTGAAAGGGGGAACCGATGTGGCTTCATCTTACGCCACACATGATCGACTCATGTGAGGAGTATAGTCGAGGTGCATTTTGCACAGTGCGTTTGCACAGCACTTGTGATTCTTTGTAACGCAAGTTTTCTAGTTTTCCTCGAGCCTCATGGTTGCACAGCCTTTGATGAGAGTGGCGATTTCAGTGGCCATTCTTGCGTTGATGAGCTCTGGAGTGGAGACTGCGAGGCCAGTAGACTTGGGGAACCACCTTCATGGGCAGTGAGCTTGTACAGATGTTTACCAGTCCGACCTGGGACCCAGTATGGGTCATCATTATCGGGTTCTTTGTCAACGGCATCTTGGTTGGTACGCTGATCATGACATGCTGTTGTGCGTGGGCATTGTTTTTCCGGATGAGTTATGGGCAGCAAAGAGCTGCTACACAGAATCCACCTCTGGATGATGACGCGATGAAGCCGCAAGGTGCCCAAAACAACTCTGTGCCTGAGAGAAGTCAGCAGAAAGATCTGGCAGTAGATGAGAGAATGGGTTCTCATGAGCCAGATGGTACAAAGGAGGCGTCGTCGTTGAGAGCGAGGCCAAAGGCAGCTGGTGCAAAGAAGAGGCCCGCAAGTTTCAGCAGCAAAGACAGAGTTGACAAGCGCATCTTTGCCTCATCGTCTCAGGGCCTCTTTCACAACGATCAGACATGCTATCGACTTGAGGGATCCTGGCGGACCATGTGGCAGTGTGGGAACTGTGAGCCAGAACCAGACAACACAGAACTGTGCATCTTCCCGTCCGGGGATAGATATCACAGTGTGTACTGCAAGCGTGTGGCGGCAGTTACCTCCAACCCGACATGCGTCACTCCGTGTTCGGCATGTGTGACAGGAAACAGCAGCAGGCCTCTGAGACTGGAGTGATCGTCTGAAGATGTCGTCATCTGAGAGTGAGGTGAACTAAAAGGTCATCCCGAAAGGGGGTGTGAAAATCTGTGTACAGACACGTCAGCGGGATGCCTTTTAGGCCAAGGTGCATGTTTGGCGTGCTTACTGTATGCCCAGGACGTACAGGTCTTCCCTGAGCAGTCGAGCATGTTTTTCCTTGAGACTTTGTTGTGTAGGAGAAGTGAGCTTGCGTAGGTGGCGTCAACTGGGTTTTCGGTTTTACTTTTGACTTTTGGCTCAAGGCCAAGAGAGCTGAGAAAACACTAAGAAGGCAGGACAACTGCACGTCGCTTTGTGAGACCGAGAAAGTGCTGTGCAAGTGCGAAGCTGTGTAAGTTGGGTGCTGTGCTGTTTAGAAGGAAAATTTCAGCTCGCCTGACATTTCTCTCTCAAACTAAAGTTGTAGTGCTCTTCCTTCGAGCACGGGGTTTTTAATAATCCTTTTTGCGACCTTTTTGAGTTGCGGAAAGTGTTTCGAGTTTTAAACGAATTTTCCTCAGCATCATGAACGTTGTTTTTAGCCATGTGACTTGCTGCATGCTTGAATCCACAGTTGGCCCGTTCATGTTCACAGCTGCTCGAGCTCGGGCTGAGAGAAAATTTTTGTCTTTTGAGCCTCCGCTAATCCTGTAAGGGTGCCGTGCTAGAGGTTCGAGGTGCTATTGGTCTCCCCTTAGGGGTCGTGCAAGCCGAGAGCCTGTGAGCTCTCGGCGGATGGACAGCGAGTCGAGCTCTGCGAGCAGCTCTCTCAGTTGGGACTGGCCTGTTGTGCCGCCAGCCCCCGTTTTCCAGGCGGTCTGCATCCGGCCTCGGTCCTTTCATACCGCTTCACTTCAGCGTCAGCTAGACGCTCCTCCCAGTCTCTTTTCGTACGTCCTCGAGAGCTCTTTCTGTGGTGTGTTGGTCAGTACCAGAGAAGGATCCAGGATCCTTTTGTTTCTCGACCCTCCTCATTGGCTTGCTCTTGCCTGCACCGGCCCCCGCCCGCATACGTGTGTTCGCCTTCTTCTTCAGCTGTCCGACTAAGGTGCCGCTTGCAACATGTCGAATCCTTCCTCCGAACCCGACAATCTCGACCCTTGGCTCTTGTTCAGCCCCGCAGGTGTGGTCGACCGGACCGAGTGTGACTTGCGTGCCGCTGATGAGCAAGCCCAGTCTTTCGTTCGTTCTCTTCAGGGCTCTTTTCAAGGGGGTGAGTCGGGAGCCCTTGAAGATACTGAGGCTTTGGAGAGTCGCAACTGGGTCAACTGCACTAGGCCTTTTCAGGGTTTGCCCGGGGTTCCAGGGGACGATGAGGGTTGGGTCGACCCAGGCTGGGTTCAAGGCAGAGAGCCTGTATTCGGCCCACGCATACCGCCTTCGTCGTGTGCACCTACTTCAATTTCTGAAGCTGCTTGGTATGACGCCTGTCGTGACTTGGAGACAGACGATTTCTTGAGTGCCACCTTGCGTGTGGCAAGCCATTCTTTTCAAGAATCCGATGACGCTTCGCTTCTGGTCCCTCTTCCAGATGACCGAATCTTGGGTGATTTCCAGCGTGCAGCTGTAGAGGCTACTTCGCAACAGCGTTTTGAGAGCAGGCCGAGATTTTCATGGGAAACATCTTCGTCTTTGCGTTTTTCCTGGGAGAGAGGAACGAGTCCTTTGCAAGTTATTGGTGCAATTGATTTTCTTGATCCAGAGGAATCCGATGACGAAGCAAAACGAAGGTGTGTGCCACCCACGACGGTTAAGTTCCTGAAACGCATCACAGTGGAGCGGTCGGAGGAAGACATCCGAACGGCTGCTCTTAAGAAGATGAGGCTGGTCATCTTGTGGGATCCAGAGGTGAGTAGCTTGGGAAGGTCTTTGCTGTCGTTGCTCGGTGCAGATGTAAACGAGGAGGCCATCAAGAAGTCTTTTTCGGATGCCTTCAGAACTAAAGCTTCCAGGACAATCTCAAAGCGAGGTGGGTCCCTCCTGAGGTATTTTTCCTGGTGCACAACAGAGAGCATAGACAGCCCTCTTGCAGTCGATGAGCCGACCATATACATGTATGCAAATTTCTTGCGTGACTCAGGAGCCAGACCGACCAGCATGACGCATTTTGTGGAAGGCCTTCGCTTTGTGCACGGGGTCGCCAAGTTGCTGCACATGGAGCCTGAAACAGTCCTCTCCAGCCGGGTGCTTGGCATAAGCCGGGACCTATATTTGATGAAGCGTCCTCTGCAACAGAAACCTGAACTGACGGTTCCCATGTTGATGGCATTGGAAGCATTCTGTGTGGAAACTGGACCAGTACTTGCGTGCATTTGTGGACAGCTGCTGTTTTGTGCGCATTCGGCTGACAGATGGAGCGATTCTCAGAACCTCAAGGAGATTTCAATTCAGGAGTCCGACGGCGTGATCTTGGTTGTTGCATCAGGCTTGACATCCAAGACGACTGTCTCTAAGGAGGCAAAACCCGGGCTGCTTCCCTACGCAGCCCTCGGCTGTGGGTTGTCTGGCAACAATTGGGCGAAAGCTTGGCTGGAGGCTCGTGAACATGAAGGCCTCTCTCTTGAGAATTTTGCGCTGCCGTCACGCCTCGAGAGCCAAAACCGCTGGAGCACTGTTCAGATGGGGAGCGTCGAGGCGACCAGCTACCTGCAGGACTTTCTGATTTTGAAGGGAATCGATCAAGACCAAGCCATGCAGAGGGCGACGCATTCGTTGAAGGCCACTTTGACATCTTGGGCGGGCCGCTGCCCTCGCCCAAAATTCAGTGGAGCGGAAAAGCGCCTTCTTGGACACCACATTGCTCCAAAGGAGAAATCACCGGCGACCTACGCCCGGCAGCAGTACACCCTTTTGTACGGGCGAGTCATGGCGATGTTCGAAGCCATCCGCGCGGGAGACTATGACCCTGACTTGTCTGACGTTGATCGGGTGGTGCAAGTGGCTGCAGCGGAGCGACCAGGTGCCACCCAGGACGTCATTGCTCCGGAGCCCGAGGCGCCTGTGCCACGACACGATTTTGACGAGTTCGAGGACCCCCCGTCTTCACAGAGCTCTGAAGCTTCTGAGGCTCCAGGCCGCGGTGGAGGAGGCTTAGAGAGGGCCCCTTTTGGGCCGAATGTTTCTGAAGATTCTCTTGTAGTGCACACAGTGTCCGGCATAACGCATTGTTTGAAGGATCAAGCCAACTTGTGGTGTGGCCGACCTCTCTCGAGGAATCATATTCCTTTCCGTGAAGCGGGGGTCTATTTTGAGGACCCTGACCCCTGTAAACAATGCCGGCACATTTTGGAGGCTGCAGAGTGATCGAAATCTTGAAGGAAAACGAGTGCATCTGTCCTTGTGAACAGCACAGACGGTACATCCTTCTGGCCAATCTCAGGCGTCGCGCCGAAGTCTGACAATCGGTGATGTTGCTCCCACTCGAACGCAAGTCGAGATCTTTGGGGAGAACAAGTTGAGCCTACTCCAGCTGACTCGAAGCCTTTATCGAGAATCACCCAGCTGTGAGAGCCGAGGCTTCATTCACCGTCAGAGCACTTCGGAATCACAGTCATGATAAAAGCATGGGCTTCTGCTCGGGGAAACTGCGGACACGTTTGACTGTGTTGCAATACCCATCTTACTTGTCCGAAGTCGATCTTTAGGCTTCAACCCGACAAGGAGCGAGATCGTCCCGACTTGCTAGGTGTCGAGCCATGGCGGGGATTGCAGTGGATAGCGAGGCCTGGTTTTTGGAGCGTTGCCAGAAGGTCAAACTCAGCGAGTCCACCATTCGCACTCTTGTCGATGCGGGATTCAAGAGCTTCGGAACCTTGGCTTTTGCTGTGTCTACCACGCCGACACAATTGGATGAAGCCGATGTGAAGCGATGGATGGGAAACATTTTTCCACATGACTTCCCGCCTGATCAGTCCTCTAAGGTGAGACGTTTGATGTTTGAAGCCCAGAACCTAAGCGTGGCTGACATGAAGGCACGCGTGGAACCTGCCGCTGACACAGCTGCGGTTCGTGCTATGCCCAATGCGGAGCGCTTGGCCCGCCAGGAGGCCTTGAAGAAGCGTGTCACGGGCCTCATTCTTTCGCCTGAAACCTTGCCAGCTCATTCCGTTGTGGACACTCTTGTCAAACAACTCGAGGATGGAGTCCTCCAGTACTTGCCAGCCTATCGCATCATCAGCCGTGCCCAGGAAGCTCAGATGTTGAAGAAAGACCAGCAAGTGGTGGTTGATGGCGAGGGGAACTTGAAGATGGCGAGCAAAGCCGAATCTGCCACTTGTGACACGCACACTGACTTAGCTCTGCGCAACGCTTGGACTCGTCGCTCGCTGGCATATGATCTCGCCGGCTTGTGCAGCTTTCAGGTGCTTGAAGAGTGGTGTCATAAATGCTTCCTTGCCTTGATGAGGCCCGTGCCCAGTGGTTACTCCAAAGTAACCACTCATCAACTTATTGCTGCCGACCGGCACCTGTTCACGCTGGCTTCGCATGCGCTCCTTGGAAAACTTGCCGGCGAGCCCGGCCGTGAGAAGCCTTTGGAAACCCAGATCAAGCTGTTGTCCGAGTCGCAAGAGGTTTTGCAGTACCTTAACGCTCTCCCTACTCCTCCTCCTTCTGCCCCCTGGCCAGGCAAGCGCAAATGGGATGACCCCAAAGGCGGTGAGAAGGGCGATAAAGGGAAAGGTAAGGGTAAGGGCAAGTCGTCTAAGGGTGAGGTTCGCAAGGAGTTCACAGTGCCCGACGGCTGTGTCAGCCGCGTGAACGACAAGCCTGTCTGCTTTGCCTTCAACCAAGGAAGGTGCCGCTTTCGAGTTAACTCCAAGAACCGTTGCGGCCGTGGTTTCCACATCTGTTGGAGAGCTGGGTGTGGTGGCGACCACCCTGGCCATCTGTGCACGAAGGGGTCTTGACTCCGGGCGGGGGGCTCCGATCTTCCCCCGGAGCCTGCGCCGCTCTCCCCGCATTGTGTCACGCCCGTGCCTTTTGAGGCGAACTCTGTTGGCTTAGGTCCCGAAGCCCTTGCCGAGCAACTTCTTCGAAAGCCAACCTTGGAAGCCTTTGATGTTTTGCGAGTTTTCGACCTCTTGCCCAGGAATCCATCTAAACGAGATGCCTTCCATCACCGAAGCTTTGGTTGCGGTGCCTGGGTGTTCGGGTCCCAGATCGGAATTCGTACAGATACTAAGTCTTTTCCAAAGAGCTCCGCTCTCTTTTGCCGTTATGTTCACCAAGTGAATCCTCACCACACCTTTTCCAGCCTGGTCTTGCTCGATGATGTTCACAGCCCACTCCATGTGGACTGCAACAATGACCGCTCCTCCTGGAACCTTGTCATCCCCTTGACCCGATTTCGCAAAGGCCACATCTGGGAAGAATGCGAAGGAGTGGCTGACCGCTTTGAAGACGCTTCTGGCACTTTTTGGGGGCGTCTGCATGATGTATCCGCCGGACCAGTCTTGCTTCATGCCGCCGTGGACCGCCATGCTGTTTTGCCTTGGGAAGGCCGCAGGGTTGTGCTGATTGCCTTCACCCCCCGGGATAGTCCCAAGCTTCCCCTTGCCGACCGTGACTGGCTGGGTGACATTGGCTTCCGCCTGCCCTCCTCATCCGCCTTGCCCACCCCTGGCCCGCCCAAACTCTTTCTCGAGGTCTTCTCCGGGTCCGCGACCCTGGCTCGAGCCGCCCAGAGGCTCGGGTTCACGGCCGTTGCTGTTGACAACTGTCCCCGGCGTCCTCAAGTTCCCACGGTTCGCCTTGACCTTGCTTCCGATATGGGCCGCGATGCCTTGTTTCGTTTGCTGCATGACAAAAAGCCTGCCGCGGTGCATCTAGGCCCCCCTTGTGGCACATCGTCTCGGGCCCGTGAGCGGCCCTTGCCGGCCAAGTTACGCGCCCTCGGCCTCCGTGACCCTCGGCCGCTTCGGAGCGCCGACTTTCCCCTCAACTTGCCTCACATTGACCCCGCCAGCCCTGATGGTTTGCGCCTCGCCGCTGCCAATCGTCTTTATGACTTGGTCTTTCATGTCCTGCTTTGGTGCGCTGAACACGACTGTGTCTTCACTCTTGAAAACCCCACGAATTCGTGGTTCTGGAGTGTGCTGGCCTTGAAGGTCCGAATGCACGCTTCGCCCAAGGTCCGCCGTTGGTTCAGTGACTTGCATGAGATCATCTTCGACGCTTGTGAGCACGGTGGCGCTCGTCCCAAGTCCACCAAGCTCCTCAGCAACCGGGCCGCCTTTGGCAGCCTTCGTGCCCGCTGCAGCGGCCGTCATGTGCACGAACCTTGGGGCGTCAGCTGGCGTGCTGGCGGTTGGGTGTGGTCCACTCATCTCGAGGCCCAGTATCCTGTTGTGTTGGCTGCTCGCTGGGCCGCATGCTTTGCTTCTGCTTGCAATGTCTCCCCAGGCCAGCCCGAGGCCCCCGACCCGCGCTTGCAGTCTCTCTCCGCGGTGGGACGCCAAACCCGTAAGCATAAGCCCTTGGTTTCCGAATATAAATTCGTGCGCATCATGCCCCGCGGCAAAATTCCCTCATCCGGTTGCAAGGTCCTCGGCGCGCCTCCCGTGCAAGGGGGTGATTCGGGGGAGGTCGCCGAGGCTCTTCCTGAGACTTCCCCAGACAGCGAGGGGCTTGGTTTGGATAGGGGTGAGGATTGCCAGGTTGGTTTCTACAGGGATCCTTGTGAATGGTTCCAGGCTGCCAAGAAAGTGTGCCACCCTCTTGACTCCGAGAACAAACTCCCAAAGGAGCTGAAAGCTTCTCTTGAGGCCAACATGGTAGCTGATCGCCGAGCCCTCTTTCTTCGTCGAAAACTTGCACTGATGAAAGCAGAGATCCTTTCCAAAAAGTTGGAACAAGACGAAAGCAAACTTCACTCAGCGATGCCATCGTGGATGCAGACCGTGATGCAAGGCAAGAGGATCCTACTTCTGGAGTCTTTGCTGCGACAGCGCAATTTCGATGACATGGAGGCAATCGAGCTTTTGAAGTCGGGGGTGAAGTTGTCGGGTGTGTCCGAATGCCCTGCTGCCTTTGATGTCAAAGTGAAACCTGCCACGTCGACCGAAGCGGAGCTCCGTCAAGTCGCTCCCTTGAAACGGGCAGCGCTACTTTTGGAAAATCGTGCTTCCGATCCCGAGCTAGAACGCGATCTGCTGAAGGTGACCATGGACGAAGCGAAGGCTGGATGGCTTCAGGGGCCTTTCAGCAGTGAAACGGAAGTTTCTGAGCATCTGGGGAGAACAGATTGGAGTTTGATGCGAAGGTTTGGCGTTCGACAAGGAGGCAAACTGAGACCGATTGACGATGCCTGCGATTCCGACTTGAACTGCACTTTCACCAGCACCATGAAGCTACAGTTGCAGGACGGCGACTTCTGCATCTCTTTGGCCATGGAAATCGCAAAGCGCGTGATGGGAAAGCCGGGAGTCGTTCCCAGAGAGTGGAGTGGCCGATGCCTTGATCTAAGTGGTGCTTACAAACAGATGGCAGTCTGTGAGCAACATCGGAGCTTGTGCGTTCTGCTTCTGCGTGATGCCGATGGCCGCCCAATCTTTTTCATTTCTTCAGCATTGGTTTTTGGGGCCTCTGCTTCAGTCTATGCCTTCTTAAGAATAGCTCGGGCCTTGAGCTTCTTACTGAACGTCGTGCTGGAGATCCCTCATGCAAACTTCTTCGACGACTATCCAATCCTTGTGCCTTCGGAAGATGCTGAACAGGTGGGCCTCCTATGCACGAAGTTTTTGCACTTGCTTGGTTGGAAACATGCCGAAATTGGAGAGGGTCACAAAGGCCTCCCCTTTGCGAAGTCCTTTGACGTGCTGGGCTTGCATCTCGACATCTCTTGCATATCTTCGGGAACCTTGACAGTGGCTAACAAGCTTGGCCGGGTTGACCGACTCCTTGAGCGCCTTCGTGAGATCAAGCAGTCAGCAGTCCTTAGCCGCCACGAGGGCCAAGTCCTGCTGGGCCTCTTGCGGTACGCAGCTGGGTTCTTCGGGGGCCGGACTTTGCGTTATGTTTGTGAAGACTTGAACGCCATAGTGCATCATGGACATCACCCTTCTCCTGTTGCGGTTAGACTGCTATGTCAACGCGCTATAACTGCACTGGAGTCGTCGAGGCCCCTACAGCTCAAAGCAGATATGCCGAGTTCTCCGGTGCATCTCTTTACAGATGGCAGCTGGGAAAAAGGTGTAGCCGGAGTTGGGGCTGTGCTTTTCGACGCGCACGATGGTTCGGCAGAGGTCTTTGGAGGCGAGATGCCGAAGGACATGGTAGAGTCGCTCCTACAGACCGACGGTGACCACTTGATTGGACAAATCGAAACCTACGCTGTCGTGGCCATGCGGATACACTTGGCCCATCGCCTTTCGGGACGTCGAGTGATCATTTGGACAGACAATGAAGGTTGTCGATTCGGGCTCATTAAAGGCCGTTCGAAGTCCCACACGATGGACACCTTGATCAGAAGCTTCGCCGCTGCTGAGGATGCCGATCCAAGTCATACCTGGATATGTCGTGTGCCGAGTTACTCGAACATCGCTGATGGGCCTTCTCGGGGAAAGCCTGAGGAGGCTCTGAAGATTTCAGGAGCTGTCGCATGTCAGTCTTTTCCATGGATTCGGCAAGCATTCGAAACTACCTGATAGCTCTCTTAAAAAGGGGGCATTTCGGGAGAGCAGGAAATCGCGAAACCTGATCGCATCCTGTGCATGCTTGCCCCACGACTGAAGAAAAAGCGCGTCAGTGTAACTGGATGAATCTTTAACACATATATGGGATTAGGTTTCACATGTGTACATAGAAGATGAAATTATTTTCGTGATCTCACAAGATAGACCTTTTCGATGAAGCTTATTCCAATCATGAGGAATAAATCTCAAGCAAATTGAGTTCCTATTCTTTCATACAAAACCCCAACTTTTGTGAGAGGGAAAATTTCAGCTCGCCTGACATTTCTCTCTCAAACTAAAGTTGTAGTGCTCTTCCTTCGAGCACGGGGTTTTTAATAATCCTTTTTGCGACCTTTTTGAGTTGCGGAAAGTGTTTCGAGTTTTAAACGAATTTTCCTCAGCATCATGAACGTTATTTTTAGCCATGTGACTTGCTGCATGCTTGAATCCACAGTTGGCCCGTTCATGTTCACAGCTGCTCGAGCTCGGGCTGAGAGAAAATTTTTGTCCCTCCCACCCACCCGTATCAATCTTGGGTATGGGGGGGCATTTCGGGAGAGCAGGAAATCGCGAAACCTGATCGCATCCTGTGCATGCTTGCCCCACGACTGAAGAAAAAGCGCGTCAGTGTAACTGGATGAATCTTTAACACATATATGGGATTAGGTTTCACATGTGTACATAGAAGATGAAATTATTTTCGTGATCTCACAAGATAGACCTTTTCGATGAAGCTTATTCCAATCATGAGGAATAAATCTCAAGCAAATTGAGTTCCTATTCTTTCATACAAAACCCCAACTTTTGTGAGAGACTGTTACAGAAATTGACAAGTTATGCCATTTAACGCAAGGCCGGCGTCCAAGCATACGTGGATGATCGCGCAAATGCGTTGAATGGGTTGGTTCGTGGAGGCCGTGTTGCTTCCCGGGCCAGCATATCTCGAGATCCCTTAATTGGGGGTGGAGGTGGATCTGCATGGCTCCGAAGAAGCTGGGACCTCATGATATTTGCCCCACGCTTTGTGATGTTTGGGCTGCAAGCGAACCACGAACTTCGCATAATTCAACGCTTTTGATGTACGCTAGACGCTCCCATAACGGGGGGTGTTTGGCGCATCGAGTATTAGCCATTACATGTATGGTCTGAGGGTAAAGTATTTCAGGTTATGTCCCTAAACTAGTACGGCTTGGCAGGGAGGACGGAGTGGAGTAATATGGATGGAACGTCGAGGTCAACGAGAAGCTTGGATAATACTCCGTCACTCCGTCATCGTGGCCGCGGACGCTGTATGCCTGATATGGAGGGAAGATTGATGATACTGTTAATGTAAGGGCATAGCCTTGTGCATGCAAGTCAGACATGTACAGAGTGTTTGATGAAATGAACGAATGCATGGCGCCGCCCCGCAGCGCTTCCTGCTCAAGAGTACTCTTTGAGCCTTTGTGCAGAAAAGAACCTTTTGCCCCTTGCTGTACAGTCCCCTAACTTCGCTCCGTGCTCTTCTGATACTGGTAAGCCATAAGGGAAACCTTGGCGCCAGGGGAGGAGGAGGAGGCAGAGAGTATAAGGTGGAGACTGATAGACGCCATAAGGCAAACCTAGGCGATATTGGTCAAAACGCTTATACACCCCTCGGGTCTTGCAAGCCCGAGTATCCTCTTGTATTCGCGATACAAGGGTGGCTTTTTGTTGGGAAAGGATTGGCTCCTGGACCCGACCTGTTGATACGGATACTATCACCAAGACTACAACTTGCGCACCTACACCAGTTTATAGCGATTCTCTTTCCAGCCCTGAGCTAGTGCCTGTTGGCGTGGGCAACATGTCTTGAATAGTTTGTCTATTCCACCACCTCTTGCAACTTCAGAACCGCAGGTGCTGAAAACCTGCCCCGCGCTGATGTTCCGTCCTTTGCTGAAAACAATGGTCAGGCCAGAGACTCGCGGCTAAAGCTTGCAAAAGCATGTTGGGTCGCTTCTGGTAGGTGTTGACGGAGGGCAGCAGCGCTCAGCTACGATGCGGGGACTTGGGTTTGACTTGTTTGCGTGCATGCTTCAACCCATACGGGCCGTTGCAGCTGCATTACTCTTTCATTGGGATGCTACCAGGCTTCCCTAGCCTTCAGTCCGTGTATGCCGCCACGTTAGTGTGAAGATGCAGTCAGGGAGGAGCGATAGGGGGTCTTCGCCACCGACGTTTTCGGAAATGGCAGCTGGTGTGTGTAAACCTTTCTGTACGATTACTATTTGTATGGGCGTTTCAATGCTGTACAAAACGGCCCTTCACAGAAAACAAACTAGGGTGTTTACAGGGCGTTTGTAGGGCTCATTCATGTGTTGGCCTGCGGCATGCGGGTTTAGGAAGACACTAGTCATGATTACGCCCGTTCCAACTTTGGTTGTACACCATCATCACCTTTTGCTGATTCTAATTCTACTGTGCTACGAGCCAACAAGGACAAGATGGTATTAATAATTCTATGAACGTGGAGGTAGTTTTCATGTCTTCTGTTTAAAAAACCTTGCGGGTCTTTCTATTAGTATTCGATGATTGAGCCGATATAGTAAGTTAATGAGTGAAGGGGCCCACTAAAGTATATGAAAGTAAGGCCCTCATTAGCTTTTTCCGTTGCCTCTGTTTGGAGGTATGAACGGGCCTTTACGGTAATATTAATTTTCTCCCATCTTCATACTCGTTAAAATTCGTTCATTAAATTTCTGCATTTCGTGCACTTGCAAGTTTCGTTTACAGATGCATTGATTTAATTCTCTTCTCACAAGCCAGACTGAGCTTCAAGTTGTGGTTCCAGCATGCTGTGCAGAAAATTTGCAAATGCACAACTGTAGACAGCAATCCAGGGGCCATTGCAGCAGAACCACAAAGACCTTTAGTGCTTCTTCTTGTGGCTCCCGGAAGAGGTGGAAGGATGTCTACCCTTTGAATGCGGGGAGACTATGACCAAGGGCTGGGAGGTCGTGTTGAGTCCCAGATCAGGGTGTGGGTTTTGGGCATGAGGCGAACGGAAAATAACATGTGACTTCACTTGAAGCATGACAGTCTTCAGCCTCTGCGAACAGTCTTCAGCTTCCCGCGCTTGAAGCACCTCAGCATCTCTCCAGCCAACTTGGCCATGTTTTTGAGTGTGTGTGCAGTGCTGTGATGGGCATTGAAGCAGCAGTCGTGTTGAAGGCTTGCGAACCGAAGCCCACTTGAGTCTAGAGCTATACCAAAGCTTCGAGGGGCTTCTTTGTGAAAATGTCTGGTGTGTGTTCAAACCAATCACACGGGATGACTGTCCGCATGCCTCCAGACAAGGTCCGGGGCAATGAGCAAAAAAGGTAGATAAGCAGAGCAGCGCTCCGAAGACATGCCGGGGGCGCGGAAGTGGTGCTTAGGCCATCAAGCTCCGCACGCCGAAAGCAATTCTGGCTCCCAGACGCTCTGGAGACCTTTGTGGCGCAAATTACGAAATATCAAGAGCAAATCTGTGCTGACGCAACATTGAGTTCGCAAAGTGTAGCTTGACCTACCGCGCGACCATTGTGCGAGTCCCCGAAGCTTCAACCTCATCTGACGAGCCCCCTCCCCACCCCCCCAATGTTACCCACGCCTGTATCGACTGACCCCTGTAGCAAAAACATAGGTCGAAGTGCTTGATCGTGTGCTTTGTAAATGAGTCGGCAAGTTCGCGCCGGCGGCGATGATCTTCGTCAAGGCCGTTGCTGCTCATGTTTGCATGGGTTCCGGCACAGCGTTTTGCCTTGGCAGCCACCGCTTCTTCCAGATCATGATTTTCTTTGAGAAATCTAACGCAATCTTTCTAAGCAGTCGCAGCAGATTTTCTCAAAGATTCTTGTCCAGCTACTTGTGCAATTTGGTAACCCTGCTAGGCTTTTGAGAGGTGCTTCTCCTTTACGATGCCGTGTTGCCTCTGCGTTGTCAGTGATAGAAGTTCGGCCAATTGTCCATCCCGCCGGTTTTCCAGGCGGCTTGGGCTCAGGGGGTTTAGGGTTTTCTGCTTCCATCCAGAAGCAGACGCAAGTAGGACGCTTGCCGTTGCCATGTAGCAACAGTTCAAGGCCAGCGTCGGAAAGCCGAGGCATTAAAAAAGGCAATGTCTTGCCTTGAGTCTTTCTGCCAGCTTCATGGCGAACAACGGGGGAATTATCGTACCATTCTCCTAAAGTGTTCCGGAAAAAAACGTTTGAACATACGCTCATGGGGGCGTGTCCTGAAGTTGGAGGACAGTTTCCGGGCTCTCCTTGACAGTGCAAGTCCCAGCCGAAACATGGCAAGTTGTTGTTTGGAACTCGCTTTCGCCAAAGAGTGCCGAATAATCGAACCATGAAACATCGAAAGGGTCTGGCATGCGCGAAGATTGTAGACGACATTGCTGGCAATGTGCGAAAAGATAATGAAAGATTGAAATGGAAAAGGATCCAAACGCGAAGCTTCGAAGCGGTGAGTTGGGATTGAGAGGGCGCTTGTGGAGGCGCTTGTGGAGGTCGACTGGGCTTGACATTGCGCAGGCTCCCCGACGTACCTTTGGACTGGCATCACAAGCATCTTACAGGTGGTTTTGCAGACACGTACTGGCAGAATGCCGCACTTGTCGAGCATTTGCCGAGCTTTTATATGTTCTGCACCTTGCAGTTGGCTGATGCAGGCATCATGGTGGCGCATAGACATCGGGTCCTCGCGCTTCTTTTGGCCGATGGTGGCAAGGGCCAAATGGAGGACAAATCTTGCGGGCCAAATGACGAGGCGTTGGTCAAATGTCTGTTGCAGTGAACATTTCCCTGTGAGTCCTGGCCGACGTGGCAGACGACGCAAACAGATGAGTGCCCTGATGACGAGAGGGAGAGGCGCGCTGCAGGTGCGCAGATGCGCGCTTGTTGCTTCCAGTTGTTGCAACATTTGCAACCAGAGAGAGAGAGAGCTAGCGTTCTCTTGAGTGTTTCTTTGCTGGCTGATGAAAGTTGTGCCCAGGCCGCCGCTCGCGATTGGAGGGCGCCCTGACTGCGCAGGTCGCACTCGTTGGTTGGAGTCCGCCTGCGGCGGCTTCACTTGCTCGGAGAGGGATTGGACTGATTGGACATTGAGCTCCGCCGCGTGTTATAAAGAATTGCACCTCATTCGGCGCGTGCGCCGCCTGGACGTGGGCGGTCGCTTTGTGGAGCCCAGCGAAGTACGGCGTCTGTGCTTGGAGTTCTTGCTTTTGCCCAGGAGCTCCGAACCTCAGATGGTGAACATGGCGAAGTGCGCGCGTGCCATGTTAGCCATGGCTGTCCTCGCCAACGTAGTCGATGTCACGTCTCTGGGGCCTAACAACGAGACGTCGACATGCTCGACGGCTGCCGTGCATGAGCGGTACCCCGTTCGGGATGCCCTTGAGCGACGAGTGCTGGACCTAGAGCAGGATCGGCAGCACAAAGCTTGGTGGAGGGCTGCGTATCACCGGCACTCACACCTCGGCTCAGGCTGGGAGTTCCAGCATAAAGGGGCCAAGCTGCTGCGGCTCCTGGCGAACCACACGGCCATGTGCGGAGCGCTGGGATATACGTGCGCCGTCTACAACCCCTGGGAGCCGCGCCGCTGCTTCTCCCACCACCCCCTGGTGAAGGAAGGGAAAGAGAGCTTCGCAAGGGGACACGTTCTCAAGGTACTGTAGCCGCTTGCTTCATGCTTGGATATGTAACCCTGCCCTGTCCAGGCCTGGTCTCCCTCATGTGGAGGCGGCAGTGACGGCAGCGACCCTTGGAGAAGTACAGGAATTCCGCGAATTCCACGAAGGCCCCCGCGGGTTCGAAAGAGTGCCGTGGACTATCGTGGACTGGAAGTTTCCTTCGTAAACTTTTGCACTAGAGGAGTCTGGTCCAGGAGCAGATGTTTTCTCTTGTTAGCTTTATGGCCTCACTTGAAAGTGCAAATTGCTGCACGATACTGCGCGCCACGACTCCTCAAGCATTTTGGAAGTCCAGGTGCCGCGGACTGGCTTGGGCTCCACCAGGATTGCCAGGAGGGCCTGGAGAGCCAACTGCCCCAGACCCAACCCGAGATGACGCGCATGCTCGAGTGCGCGGGTGTGGCTTGGGGCCCCGTCGCTGGAGAGGACTACTTCGAAACCATCTCCCTGCTGCGTGCAGTCACGAGCGCCACCAGCTTCACAAACTTCGTGGTGGTGGAGGTGGGCTCCGGGATAGGCTACTGGGCACCGAAAGCTGCGAAAGCCTTCAGGCGCCGATTCCCCCACACCGGATCTTGCCATGTTGTCCTCATCGAGTCTCTGATAAGTACTAGAATTGGGGTTATAAGTGCCCTAAACCCACAACCCTAAACCCTTCTGCTTGGGGTGATATCTAAGGAGTCTCTGGTGCCCACAGCGTCGGCAGCCGCTAATCTCCAGCGCAATGGTATATATGAGCTTTGCAATGTCACTTTCTACCAGTCAGCTGCAACTGCCCAACTACTGGACAGCCTCATCCAGTCTTTTGGGGCCGTGGACCTTGTGCATGTGGACATCCAGGAGGCCGGTCGGAGAAGTATGCTCAGGTTGTAGCGTGTCACTGCGTCATACAGCATGTAGCCTTAGCCTTTGGTGGCGGGACAAGTGTGGCTTTGGAGGCAGAGCTGGAGCTGGTAAAGCGGAGCATCCTGTTACCGATGCTTGGGCTGCAAACTTCGCAGAACTTAGTTCCGGGGCGGGCAGGAGTGGAAGAAAGTGGAGGAGTGCCGTCGTAGACTTGGTAGACCCATCCTTCACTCACCACTGCCCCCCTGGCCTTTCTGAAGGAAGGTGCAACACCTCTTCATTGGTACACACGGGCGGCTCATACACCGGGAGGTGCGGACCTGGCTCGTGGCACACGGCTTCTCCCTGGACTTCGACTACGTGGGCAAAAGCTTCCTGCCGACAGCCTATGGCCCGGTCGTCTTCGGCGACGGGGTCCTTGCCGCAAGAAAGAAGGCTTTGGACTGGTGATGGCCGGTTCCGCAGTCTCCTGGCTCAGCACAAGCGCGGCGGACATTTACACCTCATATCTAAACAGTCAAATCTGAAGCTGTGCGTCATCAACCTTCCCGCGAGGCGCCGGACTAAGACCCAGCCCTTGGGTGTCGGACTGCACCGTGCAGTTTCGGCTTGTGGTTTGGATATGTCCGCACGTCTTTGCCATTCCCTGCATCTTGCCACGCTGCTGCTCTTGCAAAGACTCTGGATTGAAGGCCACGCGTCAGCATGATCATGCAAGTAGTCTTCTTCAAGGTTAGTCGCTGCCTGAAATTGGGCTATCAAAGGCTACCTTGATACCAGCTCTGTGTTGTGCAAAACATGCAAATTCGTGAAGGCTCGCATGGCTCGCTTGCCTCTATTTGTGCGGACATGTCTTCGTTGTTGGCCGAGAGCCAAGTCTGAAGCATGACTATCTTCCCCCCCCTCACTCTCTCTGTTTCTCCATCTCTCCGAGATAATATTACAGAGGGACGGGATTCGTCTGACGCTTTGTGCCAGAGGCATGCCCTGAGCACTCCCATCCTGACTTGTGTAAGAAGCTACGCTACTTTCCACGACTTGACAAACTGCGATTCGCATAAGCAGCCATGAAATAGCATGAAACGTTTACTCGATGTCTTCCAAATGTGTTTAAACAAATGGGTCTAGATATCCATTTTCAAGCTCTGTTCATAAAGCTCTTGATGAGATTAGGTTGAGTTCGGTTTCGATTCTTTGAATTTCGTTGCAGTGTGTTCTGTCCTCCAAGTCTGTTAGTTGTCAACCCTTGCCTAGCCGGGCCACAGCAGTCCCGGAATCAGGGTTCCAGCGAAGTCTCGTCGCAGGGTCCCAGGGCGGTCCCAGGAAAATGCCCCAAATTTCGGGGGTCCAAGGAAAGTCTCAGTGTTTTTCAAGAGAAGAAAAAGATATCATTAAGGGCCTGATTGTATTGGCTTTCGTTCATGTACCCTAGTATCTTTAGCCCCTAATGCAACAAGTACTTTGGCCTTTGAGTACTATACTTTTGTTGAAGCAAATCTGCTAGACATGAGTTTGATTCATATCCCTGAGGCAAATGCAAGTAAATAGACTGAAGGGGTGACTGGTTGACATTTCAATCCCGAAGAAACTTTCTCAGGCATCTTCAATGCTAAAATCAGTTAACAAATCACGACAAGTTGCCAACTCTAGTTTGAGCTTTTGTTTACCGTTGACATGTTCTGGTAATGCTGGACAGTTGCTGGCACACAGCCATTTTCCACAGACGTTTAAGATCAGATTACCAGCCGATGTTTCCCGGTAGTTTTGCGTGGAGATTCTTTGTCATGATTTGTCATGTTTGTTTCCAAAGAAGCCATCTCTATGAATCGGTTTCACGGACATGTAGTGCTGGAACAGGCTCAAGACCGCAGCAAATCTGTGGTTTGTGAACCTCAAACCTTCCAGAGATGGAAACCAAGATCCTGGACTGGCGACATGTTGCGTGTGTCTGGGTTTAGCTTAGTGTACGTATAGATATCACGTTGTCACAGGCACTTTCGGCACTGAGTGTACTATAAGAGGAGTTGCAGGACGTAGATTCGGAGCTGCACAGCCCGGGCCAAAGCACGTGCTATCGAGTTGCGAGGACTGCCCGACTTGGTGTTGTGGACCGTGCGTGCATCAGGCTCTGTCCTGTCCAACATTCAGCTCCGAAGCGGCGCCTCCTTGGATGCCTCTGCCTTATAACATTTGCTCTTCCAAGGAGTGAAAACGGAATTGCTTTGTGCTGCTCTGCCTTGTCCACGCTTTAACAGCCGACGCTGGGATGGGGGGCAGCAACGCGGTAGGTTGAGAGATTGGTTGGCTCTGTCTGCCTGTGGTGTGGCCAATCCGGAAGAGCACTTACTGTAGGTGATTCGTGCTGCCAGGAGCAAGGTGCCGCTGGGGAGATATGGCTTTGGGCACTTCGCAAGAATTCCTATTACCCGCTGGCACTTGGCTTGGAGGTTATCATCCGGGGCTCTGCTGATGCCGTAGCGTGCGCCAGCAGCTTGCTGGTGCCCCGCCTGTGCAATTTTTTTCGAGTTGGGTACCGCACTGCGTGATCCGTGACGGGTTGATTCTCTACTGGTCGTTCATCGTCTTAAAGCAAGGCCGTCGAGCTGGACCGCAGCTCTACTCAGGCAAGGCCTTTGCCGGCACAGCACATCATGTCCCATGCCCTGTGTGTGCATTTGCAATCATGGCTATCATTCAGTTGCGGACCATCTCTAGTGGTGATGTTTGCAAATGGTGTCAGATGGCAACCGTCAGCATTGTCAGCACTGTCAGTGCCTGAAATGAAATGGCCCACTTGTTGAGTGTGCGCATTGCGTGCACATTGTGAACATGAGCATCCCATTCCCTGAGCTGAGTCCTCAACAAAGTTGAAGCAGCCCTTCAGGCTCGGATCTGCGAAGCTTCTGTGGCTGAGTAGTGCAGCGGTCCTGTGCATCGATTTATGTAAGTGGAACCCAGGGTCTAGTCCAGGAAATGCGACCTGGCGACGTGTTGGGCCTGCAACTTGTGCCGGGCCAAGATCCACAAATGTGTGGCTGCACAGCTACATCTCAGAAGTAGTGATAACTACAAAGGTTTGAATAAGAAGAATGTACGGAAGAGAGTGAGCTCTTGTCCCGGACGGAATGGTGACAATCTTGGGCTGCGCGTTTGAGCTTGACTCACTCAGGCGTGGAAGCCATGGACACACATGGCTGTGCTCACGGGGAAAGTAAGTGTGGACTGCGACGGTTTCCACATTCCCGTCATCGAGTGCTGCTCTCAGCGTGTTTCCCAAACCCAGTGAAGAAACATGTCTCGTGGAATGTGGACGTGCTCATGTGGTTTCCTGCTGCTGCCAAGGCTGAGCAGTGCTGATGGTCTTTACCAGTCCACCAAAGTGGTGAGACTAGATGGTCGGCAGCTTCGCAGCTCGGAAGAGAGGATCGGAGGCGACAGCGAAGAAACGGACAACTTTGTGCGCGCCTCAGGCCCACGCCAAGCATTTCTGCTTCGTGTCGTTCGACCAAGGTCGTCCAACTTTACAAGGCCCCGGAGTCTTTGCATCGACGTGTTCGTGCAGAACCTACCCTCCACTCCCCTCACATCTGGAGTTACGCTCTCAGGTTGCTTTTCTGCGGCAGACGTTCTGGTTTACGTGTCGTGCTGCGTGGATTGCACCAGGCCCGATGCGTGTGGTCCTGCTGTGGCTCTTGTTACCGCCGTGCGGGCCTTGCAGCCGAAGGCACCTGATCCTGCTACAGATGGCTTCTTGCGCATACTGATGAGGCGTGACGATGTCCGCGTTAGAAGGAGAGCAGCGATGTGCTGCACTGAGCAGAGTGAGCGCCCTCAACTTGCGGACCCTCGGTGGACAGCATTTCAGGCAGCCGTACGGGCTATGCTCGTCACTTGTGGTTTCGTGGTGGCAAGCGGTAATGGACGTTGATGTCGTAGTTGCTGCCTCAGTGTTGATTCCTTGATCCGGTATTGTCGTTGCTTGCCACGCATTGTTGTTCCACTGTGCCTGCTGTATGCTCTCTGCCTGGAGAAAGTCAAACCTTTGACTTTCCAGTTTGCATGTTCTGGGGTTTCCAGAAGCAGGGGGGGACCACAGTATAGTATAGACTTGGGCTCTCAAAGAGAACCCCTCATTGCTGAGGATGGGCTTCTGGGGCCAGAATTCCCCAGAGTTTGAGAACATAAGAAGAATCAGAACGAGACTTGGAGTTCAAGTTCGAAGAACCTAGGTGAGCGAGGCCATAGAATGAGATTTGGAAACGTTTTGAAGTCGCTTAGGCTTCAAGAGCATCTCCAAAACGAGCGCTGACGTAACGTTTATCATGTTTGCTGCACAAAGCGTGGTGGCGGGGGTGGGGGGTGGGGCGGTGAGAAACTTTTGCCAGTAGCCTTGCCAGTAACCTTCAAACTTCAAGCTTTTCCACCTCAGCTTCCAAACTTCACAAGTCCCAAGCCTCCCCCTACCCCTCAACTTCCAAACTTCAAGTCCCAAGCCTCCCCTACCCTTCAACTTCCAAATTTTCATTCCCAAGGCTTCCCTACCCCTCAACTTCCAACCTTCAAGTCCCAAGCCTTCCAAACTTCAAGTCCCAAAGCTTCCCTACCCCTCAACCTCCAACTTCAAGTTGCAAGGCTCCCCTACCCTCCTTCAAGTCCCAAGGCTTCAAGTCGCAAGGCTTCCCTCACCTTCCAAACTTCAAGTCCCGAGGCTCCCCTAGCCCTCAACTTCCAAACTTCAAGTCCCAAACCTCCCGTCCCTATGTGCAAGAGATAATGCTAATAGAATGCAATTTTGCCCAATGCAGTTTCCTCTAACCTTTCGACATTTGCGTCTTGCAAATTGGTTTTGCAAGACGCAGACTACACGCGCAAACTATTGTAAGTTTTGCCGGAAGTGGGCCGCGCCTGCATTATCAAATCCTGTGCCACGTGATGGCGTTCGAAGGGTGTGCGCCCACTGTGGTTGCGATGAGATTCGTAGGTTTTTGCTTGCAGTGCTCAGGGTCACTTGCTTGGGCTTCTCATTCCTTCTGTTTACTTCGTGAGCTTTAGACATCAGTACAAAAGGCCCCCCAATAATTTGGAAGCGCCCCGTCCGGACATTTTTCAAAAACTGCGAAACGAGCGGAAACCTATTTTCTCCCACTCTTGCTTGTGCCTATAAAGGGCTTCGGTAAAGACACCTCTATACAACTGTACAAGGTACATGCTTTACCTAGAAAGTGGTGTGGGGTCAGCAACTTTCGCACACCCTCCTTAAAGCATGTGCCTCTTGCTGCTCCCCCGTTGGTCGCGCATTGGGCTCAAGATGCGTCACTCAATCTTGCCTTTAAAGCAATACTTGCAAACGGTGATACCTTGGACATCCGTGGCTTGGATCAGTCCGTGACACTTTGGATTTGCATGGAACTTTCGTCCCTTGCGACTCACATAGAGCTTTGCATCTGGGCACTTTTCACCCATGTAGATGAACACCTCTCGGTTTCCAAAATGGATACACTTACAGAGGCATGTGCACACCATCACTGAGAGCGTGATGATGTTCAGAACCACACTGACTACTACGAAGAGCAACCATTGGGTTCCGGTGTCACCCGGTCCATGAGGAATGAGATCCATGAGGTGACTCCCTCAGAGGCCGGTGTCTAGTAACAGCACTGACAAATTGCTGTATGTTCAGCTTTGAGCACTGCTGCGGCTGCCACTTTTTCCAAATGTTGACTGCTCCGATGGTTTGCATGCTGTTCTTTGTAACGTGCTTGTCAAGTCCTTGCTTGTCCAAGGAAACCAACCCGAGCATTTCGCGTGCTTCTTCCATCTCCTTTCCGGTTGTTAAGTGCTTCGTCAAAGCATTCGATGGGTTTTCCGTTCCTTTGATTTTCTGCACGATCACTCTTTTCTCTTTCACAAGCTCTTGAATGTAGAAATGTCCCAGATCAACATGTCGCATTTTCCCAACACCCAATCTCCGTGCAACTTGGATGGCTGCACTACTGTCACAAAACAGTCTTGGCACATCGATCGTCATGCCAAAGTCTTCCACACCTAAGTTCCGCACGAAAACTAGGTCCTGGGCGCACTGAGTTAGGGCTCTGACTTCTGCCTCTCCTGAGCTGGTCGCAGGAGTTCCTTGCTGACTCCGAGCAGAAGTTTCAACCACGGTCCCTCCTAGGACTATTGCCTGCCCACTGGTGCTCTTGCGGTCTTCTCTGTCACCTGCCCAGTCACTGTCGCAATACCCCTGCAGCGGAATCCCTGCAGCTGGTTCGAAGTCTTCACTCATCTTTGTCACATGTCCCACGTGCATGGTTCCCCTGAGATATCTACCTAACGTCTTGAGGTTTTGCATGTCACATTCCCTGGGATTCCTAATCCGCTTTGCAAGCTCCTTGCATGCGAATTTGATGTCGGGTCGATCCTGCGACAGGTAGGTAGCACTGCCTACACAGCTAGCGTAGATTTCTTTGGCTCTGCCCTCCAGAAGCTTGTCATCCTTTAGGTTGAGCTTCTTTCCCGGAACGGGGCTTGGCTTGGCGTCCTCTAGTCCTAGCATCCTAAGGATGTCAGTGGTATGCTTTTCGTTCGGCATCGTAACCACAGCTCCCTCCACCAGGATCTTCTTTCTGCCAAGAAATTCACTCGTGCTACTGCTTGCTGCGCCTGGCCATTCAAGCTCACCCACTTTTAGCTTGCATCCGCACTTCGGCAGCTGAACTTTCAGCAGGTCATCCAGCAACTCTGCCGGTCCACAAACGTCGAAATCGTCTATGTGGTGGATCAAAACGATCCCTGTTCGCACGCATCGAAAGACACATGCGTCTAGTGTCCCCCTGTGAAACTGATACACTCCCTTCGGGAGTTCCTTGGTCAAAATGGTTTCCAGACGATCTCTGTACTGCGCTGCCGCTGACTGCCTTCCATACAGATTTCCATCGACCTGCCATAGCACGCTTTCTTTCGGCACGTTCTTCATCTGCTCTTGCATTTCTGGGCTTGCTTTTGCGTACCACTCATCGTATTCCTCCAGCCATTCCTTTGGCGGCTTCATCATCACTGGTTGTCCTTTTGCATCTCCACCATCTTTCGCAATGAGGAAAGCTGAGCTAAGGTCGGCCTTGACTCTCGGCATCTTTGTCGTCAGCGAGTAAACCTCCAACAACTTCCTCGAGGTGGCGTGTGGCGTTGGACAGAAATTTGAAGGGTACTCTGAGTTGTGCTTCTCATTTGCTTCTTGCTTCTTCTTGAAGTCCTGGCATGTGAGTCGTGACTTTGCCACTCCTTCAGTGACCTTGTCAACCCACTTGTGGCCGAACACCGTCAGGTCCTTTGTTATCTGTCTCCCATCTCTCGGTGTGAAGGCACCGTACACCTCATTTAGCTTTCTCAGCTCTTCCTTTCTCGCTCTCCTCAACTCTTTCTCGTCAATCTGCAACGTGTCCAGGTAGTCCATGATGTTGCTCACCATTGTCTCGTTGAAGCAATCTTTGTTTTGCTTCAGCCACTTCTTGTACACACCCACATCTTCTTTTGGTAGGAGAGCACTACCCTCCAGCCAGGTCCCATGGTTACTCACGCTGTCCACCATGTTCTGCGCTACATCTCCCGGCACGCTTGGCACATACATGCTCGTGTCGAGACTGTCTGTGCCCATGCTGGCATCAGGCGTAGCAATGTTGAACTGCTGCGTGCTAGCTGCAGCATTCCCGGTGTCACCCGGCGGCCGACTGGCCTGCGCAGGCTCCACCCTTGCTCTCTGGCTCTTGCAACGCAGCTTTCTCACTTTCCTTTCCTGCATCGTCTGCTGCTCTTGGCGCCGGCATTGGCACCACTATCGTCTCTGGCTTGAAGTCGTAGGTCTCTGCAGGCTCCAACTCCGGAACTGCTACACCCTTGCTCTCAGACCGTTCTTGCACTACCTTGCTTGTTGCAATGCCCAAGTACCTGTTCCAAGGCACTCCCTTTGCCTTGTCGAGTATCGCCGCTTCATATCTTGCACTTTCTGGTAACCTCCTCACGGTGCGGCATGTCTGCACCCCTGACTCTGTAAGCACCAAGTGCTCATCTCCTGCAGCATTCTTTCCGGCATACACTCCGCGAATCCATCTTGGAGCTGCCTTGTCCTTTTGCTTCGGAAATTTTGCTAAGGACACCTGTCCGAAAGTCATCATCTCACCCACATAGTCAAACCCATTGATGACTCTGAACGCCGTTGTCTTCGAATGGTTGATGTGAAACCGTGCCACCGTCCACGCACTGTGTCGCACAATCCATGGAAACAAGACACTGTCACAGCCAATCTTGACTTTGTATTTCTCTGACACCTCCGCAAGCCATGTGCGAATCTTGCCTGCCAGAAAACCGTTGACCATCTCTCCATCTGCTAAGGACTGTGAACTGTATCGCGGTGATCTCCGCAGAGTAACGGTGTCACCCATTTCCTTCTGCACCCTTTCATATATCTTGTTCAGAGCGCTTTCTTGGTCGAAATGGATCACTACCTTGTCCCACTTCAGATCCTTGATCCAGCTGATCATTGCCTTGCTTGCGTAGTCCACGCTGGCTTTGGATGGCAACACCAGCGCGAAAGGGTACTGGCTCTCTTTGCAAATTGCAGTGAGAACGGTTACCAAACCAGCCCGCTTCTTTTCTCCTTCTTCTTTGTTCACTTCCTTGCCTTCTCCAGAAAAGAACATGTAGTCGGAGTAGATCACATGCTCCTTGGGGTCTTCCTTGACCCTCCTGTGCTGCTTGCTCTTACCTTGCCCCATCACACAAACAGGGCACCAACTCTCGAAGTTGGCATGGTGGAGGTTGTGTTCTTCCACCTCCTGAGCCGACGGCTCCTTCGGCGCCTTGATGACCTTGCTCTGGTCTCTTTCTCTGTCCTCATCTATCATCAGCCGATCCACTGCGTCTTCGTCGTCTTCCACAACTCCTCCATGAGCTTCCTCTCCTTGCGCAATCTCTTCTTCATATGCCTCGTCTAGTCCTTGCATCCATTCGCCTTCATAGTCTGGCTGCTCTTCCTCAGCAGCTGCTTCTTCTCTTTCTGGCTTCAGCCTGAACCAGGTTTCTCCCAGCCAAGCATGCTTCATATCCCTCATTGCAAAGCGCTTGTCTTCCCACGCACTCCGATCTTCCTTCTGGGACCCATCCTCCTCGAAGATCATCTTGGTGAGCCTTCCACTCTCCAGTCTCTCCAAGGGCACAGGGAGATCCTTGATCTTTGGCGCAAACAAACGCTTTCTTGGGCTGTTGTGCTCTCGAATGAGATACTCCACCCCATCCTTCACTTCTCTCTTCCAGCGGTCTTCCTCTCGACGACCCAGATCCGGCTTGTCGGCAATGGGTGCGACCCTCCTGCCTCCTGCAGGCGCGCTCCCTTCGCCCACGTCCATCACTTTCAAGTACCACCTTTTCCCATGAAGCTCAAGTGGTACGGTGTCACCCGCGCTGGTCTCGAGGAAACACCCTCCTGGGCTGAAAACCACCTTGTGTCCTCTCGCTACCAAGCTGTGAACCGAAACTAGGCTCTCAGCAGCATCCGTTACGGTCATTTCTACTGCTCCTTTGGTTTGTCCGAACATGACCTGAGGGTACTGCTTTCCATACACCTTAAGCGGCGTCCCTTGCACGCTGAACAAAGGCTTCGCTTTCGAGGCATCCACCTGTGCTTCAAAGTCTCCTACTTTTGCTACACTCTCACAGGCTCCTGAGTCGATGAGAAGATACCGGTTGCCTAGCTGTTTTGCAGTCACAGCTGCGACGGAACTCTCACTCACAGTGAATATCACATCTTCATCACTCCACTTGACAACACGCTGCGAACCTTCAAACACAGAACCAATCCCTGCACCGTTGCCACTCCGGTCTTCTGGGGCAGTCGATGCACCCGTCCCACCGGTCTCGGTGTAGGCCTCGTTGTCGACTGCTCCAACCTTCCACCAGCAGTCTGCAGCAATGTGACCATGCCTGTGGCATATATGGCACTGCTTTCCAGCGTGCGGATTGTTGTTCTTTCCTTTCCCATCGTTTTGCTTTCCTTTGCCTCCTTTGTTGTTGTTGCCTGCTCCTTTTCCCTTGTCGGTTTTGCCTTTCTTCCCATCCTTACCTTTCCCTTTGCCATTGTTGTCCCACCTGTTGTTGTTCCACTTCTCCTTCCATTTGTCCTTTCCTTTGTTGCTCCAGTTGTCCTTTCCTTTGTCGCCCCAGTGGTCCTTTCCTTTCTTCCATTCTCCTTTCCCTTTGCCTTTGTCTCCTTTTACTCCGCCGATGTCCATAGGCCTCACTCCCCCATCATCATGCTCAGCAGTTTTGTTTGAGGCTTTGGGCATCCCGAACTGTGAACCTTGAGGCCTTTTCCACAGGTTTCTGTTGATCAGATACTGTTCGATGTACTCTCGTATCTTGTCGTATCCGTTCAACACATCACTGTGCATGAAGATGCTTTGCTGCAACTCTTTCGGTGCAATATGAGCCAAAATGGAAACTTTCTCATCTTCTGAAAACGCTGTGTTGTACGTACGCTCAAACTCTCGAAGTTCAGCTTCCCACTGGTGAAGCGCTGTGCTCCACTGTGCAATGTCACTCGGAAACGAGGGATTTGCTAAGTGCCTGCGCCACACCCAGGCCTTAGTCCGACGCGCTGGCTCGCTCAGAAGCACCAATCTTCTCCAAACCTCAAAACCGTTGGCATCACGCAACCCTTGTCCTATGACGTTCATCGTTGGCTCGGGACAGTACTGTATCAGAAACGTGTACATGGCTTTCGACAGTCTACTTTCTTCGGGGCTAAATTTGGCTTCATCAATCGGGTTCTTACTGGCTCCATGCTTTTCCAACAACTCTGGGTAACGCTCATGCACTGTGCTTGACCATGCCATGAAAACATGTTTGAAC